GTATTTCAGATCTCTCTCGCATAGCAACGTGTGAGTGATATCAAGGTATCTGCTGTTTGCAGTACTGATACCAGTTTTCATGGGACACTTACCCCTAGGATCTATACAGAGACACTCTGGTATTTCCTGTAGGTCTTTTAGCAAAAGGAAACACGTGCCTTGTGAAGACTGATGGCAATCAAGCAGTTACAAAAGGTTAAGGAAGAGGTATCTTTGAACTTAGTGGCTGGTAATGCTGTTGATTATATCTGTACCTTACTAAGAGCAGTTCTGCTGAGGTAAACAAAGCTAAATTTGGAGCAAAACCTATAAATAGAGGTAAATAGAAAAGTAATTAGTCTTAGTTACAGGGTAGATCCATAGGTCCTGTCCTTAGTGATCTGCCCAAATCTGTCCTTTTGGGTGTCTCCCACTGACACAGCTCCTGTAGTGCTGTTTTTCCAGTAAGGAAATGCTCTGTGTTTGAAATGGCTTTCTGTGTAACTTGTGATTTTCATTCTTTACCCAGGAGCTCTATGATGCTGGTGTCAAGAGAAAGGGAACTGATGTTCCCAAGTGGATCAATATTATGACTGAAAGAAGTGTTCCACATCTGCAGAAAGGTACAATTTGAAAGACAGATTTACATTTTTTCTCCTGTAAGAAAATAACAGTCAAAGCGCTATCTATTTTGTTCCACGTGGCTTTCAAGTAAGTGTGAAAAGCAATCAGATCTTATTCACACACAAGTTGTTACAATCTTTTAAGTATTTGTGTACAGATCTCTTTATTTTTACACATGTGCAACCATTGTTTAATGGTGTGCCATGTACACTGAGAACAAAAATGTCAGAAACCTAGAAAACAGGGCTGCGTGAGAGCTTTTCATTCCATCCTGGTTAGATTAGCTATATCATGTGTTCAAATCTGAACAGGGGAAAACCAATCGAAGATTTTTCATTTCAGGAAGCAAATCACTGTTGCTTTAAAAAATACTTGTGACACAACTACCACGGTATGTTGTGAGATAATGGAGTTGTGAGCTAATGGAGGTGCTCAAGAAAAACAAAAAACTGTACCATCAGCTGGGTATCTTGGGCTGTACTGAAGAGACAGTTCCCAGAAGGACTTGGACAGGTTTTCTTAACCATGTCAGCACATTTCTCTCTCTGCATTTTTTGTGTGGTTACTTTTAACCATTCCTGGTTTGGTTTTGATTTGATCTGCTTTCTTTCTTGTAACAGTGTTTGAAAGGTACAAGAGCTACAGCCCGTATGATATGTTGGAGAGCATCAAGAAGGAAGTTAAGGGAGATCTGGAGAATGCCTTCATTAATCTTGGTGAGTTACCATAAAATAAACACTATGTTTAAATAACACCTTTTCAGTGCTCTTGCACTTGTGATGAAAATAGGCCCGGCTTCCTCTGTATTGCTAGAGGAGAAAGAAACTGGAAGGGCTGGTATTATTGGATCTGTGTATATTTCAGGACGTTACAGGCATTGAGAGGTAGCATACTTTGTCCCTCTGCAAAATGTAGATCTTGCTTTCCAAATGAAAAGGAAAATGCACGTGTTCTGTGATCTGTTGTTAGTTTCAATTTTGTCCAATACAGAAGTTTAATGCTTGTTTCCCCCACATAAAAAGGTTGGAACTCTAGCTGTGCACATCAATTATTCAACATGGATAGGCTGGAAAGTAAGCAGTATGTGCGTGAGGAAAGACAGGCTGTGGAGGATACTAGAGGCTAAGAAAAAAGCTAATTTTGCTCTGAATTCTCTGAAATAGGGGTAAATGAGGGGGATAAATAAGGTGAAATAAGGTGGGGGTGACTGCTGTTGTGGATGAGACGAGAATACAGAGGAAGTTGCCAGGTTTCACAGGACGTTCTTTAAGAGGAGAATCCATTTCAGACTAAGGGGGAAACAAGCTGTCTAAGGCTAGTGTAGAATCAAGACAGCTCACCCTTGAAAGGGACACTGCTCACCTATTAGCATACAATGAACGTTTCCAGAAAAAAAGGTTGTTCATGAAAGTGAAAGATGGACTTAAGAGTGAATTGTGTGGAGGAAGGTTAGCCTTCTGAAATTATACTAGCAATAGAGGGAAATATTTCTCCAACTGCAAGCATTCGTGCTTCAATCATAAGCGTAGCCAACCAATTTATAAATAACAATTCAGGTAAAAACAATTCCTCTTTGACCCTGTTGGGGAAACTTTTGGTGAATACCTTATTTTGACAGCTTATAATGCCTTTGAAAAAGATTTTGTGTTCTATTCTCACGTGGGCAGGATGTTTACCCATTTACCGTATCTCTCTCTCTAGTTCAGTGCATTCAGAACAAGCAGCTATACTTTGCAGACAGACTCTATGATTCCATGAAGGTAAGAAAGACTGCTCATTCTACTCATTATCTTCTAACCATTGTTTCATCAAATTTTTATTCCTTAGGTGGTTTCGTTCATATGATGTGTAACTGCCGTGTGGATACACAATGATGACTTCGTGTTGTTCACAAGCATTCTTTAGTAGCTTAACTCATAGGCTGTCTATTAACATGCATCTGGTATATGGAAATACAGGGAAGAGTCATATAATAATTATCTTCATTATATCAGTTTATCAAAACTGCCAAAGTTAGATGCATCTTTTGTAGGTAAACACAAGTTGATAGCAGCAAATCTGTTTACTGAAATGGAAAAATAAATAACTAAGTTTGCCTCAAAACATTTTATTGAGAAAAGGTATGAAAGAGAAATACATAATGACAGGCATTAGGCAATAACATGAAGAAGATGAGGACGACCTCCTGGAGAGCCAGAACTGTGGCTTGCAGTCTAAGTAGCTAGATTGGTATCTAGAAGTTAGTTGAACACTGCTAATGAGAGAGGGATGTTCATGATGAAGTTCCTGGATCAAGTTCAAGGTCACTGTACCTTTTACTGAGGCTACCCAGTTGTCTGTAATTTTGCTGTATGTCCTCCACATCAGTTACAGCATCCTTTTACGTGTTTTATCTATTAAAAGTTCTAAATGTCACTGTGCTCATAGGGCAAGGGAACCCGTGACAAGGTCCTGATTAGGATTATGGTCTCCCGCTGCGAGGTTGACATGCTGAAAATTAAGAGCGAATTCAAGAGGAAATACGGAAAGTCCCTCTATTACTTCATCCAGGTAAATTTTCAGCATTCTGTATATATTAATTGTATGGATCTTCCGAGTCCTTTTCTTTGCATTAATTCTCCATTAAAATTCATGTGCGGTGTTTCAGAGACTGCAGTGAGAACAGTAGGTTGTTACCATGCACAACTGAAAGAATGTTTATCTTTGTAGTCTACCACCAGTATAATTCCTGGCAGCCATTTGACTGCCATAGGCAAGTTTTACCTTTCGGTTGATGTGTTACAGACAAAAATTCCATTCACCTGTCTCTATCCCCAGCCCAAAAGGAAAGAATTACTATGGGTTTGCTGAATTAACATAGATCTTCTAAATTGTCACTTCTTTCATTCTAGTGCCTAAGGAGCAGACTTTTGAGAGTGATTTTTTGTGATATTGGGAAATATTAAGTGTTAGGTTTTATTTAATTGGAAATATATTAGAAGAGGCCATGCATCTGTTTAAACCTGGTCTACTGCCCACCTTTACATCTGCATGGATGTAATTGCATCAAAACCTGAAGCCCAAATCTTTTTCTGAAGTAAGATGACAGCTTGAAATTATGGGTAAATTTTCAAAATAGTGAATGTACTGTAAAATTTTTTGTGGTGATCAGTGAGAAGGAACAGAATCAAGTCTCCAGCTTTCCTTTATCTTGCTTTTCTTTTTTGCATTAGATCTCCCTAGGGCCTTGCATATGTGTTGTAAGAACGATAATCTCAATTCACAAACAAGTAAAACTTGGTCTAGATAGTTTCCTCCAGGCTAGCAAGGCTTCAGTTGTGAAGATCAGTTCATCCCCACAGGTCTGGAATATAGTGTGTATACCCTCATGTTTTGTAGCTGTTTCCTAATACGTGCTTTGCGTTTTTTCCCCTTTATAGCAAGACACAAAAGGTGATTACCAGAGGGCGCTGCTGAACCTGTGTGGTGGAGAGGACTGAAAGCTGTGATGTGGGAAACAGAAACGCAGAGACATGCCTGTTCTGCTCTTCCTTTTACTGTAACCCGTGACAAAATCGAGCCGCCATGCAAACCCTGCCCTGCCTCTATCCCTGCTTCACCACTGAGCAGCTCCCCAGCGCTGCCTGCACGTCTCAGCAGCAGCTCTGCTTGGCTCTGCCAGAGTTCCTAACAGCGTAAAGCCAGAGAAACTAACATTCCCCAGAGATAAAGGTTAAACGTGCTAGTGGAGAATGCCTCTTTGTGTAATGTTTCTAATAAAACATAAATAAAACAGATGTATTTGTCAGACCTTTAATCTGGAAAATTGGTGATCAACTGATGCATACTTGGCTTGTGTCAACCATTGGCTTTTTTCCCTTGTCCGTAATTCATTTTCTTGTCTTTGTACCCCAAAGCCTTTCGTGTTTAATTATACTTTTTTTAAGTGAGAAACAGCCATTCTTGTGGTGGCGGTGTGTTTTTTTTTTTTTTCTTTTCCTTTTACTCAAGTGCAACAGCAAAACTCAAGCCTCACCCATGTGTTGTGTCTGTAAAAGAAGGGCTGAAGGCATTGAAATTCCATTTAAATGCTTACAGCGAGCCGTCGGTCACACGACTGAAGGAAGGAACCGTTCTGGAGCCGCCCGGCACTGCAGCAACGGGTGCTGCTCACCCCTCTCAGGATGCAGCTTCCCGCCCTTTTTCTTCCCGCCGTGGGACCGCGTTCCCCGCGCGGCAATAGCTGGGACGGCGCCTCGCGCTGGGCGGGAGCGTTCCGGAAAGTTCTGGTCCGCCTCTGGGCGGGAGCGCGGCTGGGCTTTGCGCGGGTCAGGGAGCGTGGCGGTGCGAAGCAGCCGGGAGGTGTTACGGATTGCAGGTAAGCTGAGCGCCCTGCTAGTCCTGCGGTGGAGACCGGTATTGCACGCTGTGATGGCGTCTGCGGCGACTCGCGCCCCACATAACGCACTTTGCTCGTCCTGCGGCAACATTGTTTCTTTCTGAGGTACGACAGACGCAAAGTGCGAAGAGCAAAACTTTCTCTCCGACGGTGAGTGCTGCAGCTGTGCCACGAGGAGCGGGACGGAGTAACTCACGTCCTCCTTCCTCAGCTTTCTGCATTTGGAAGTGCAAAACTAACAGCCAGCGCCCACTGCTCTCGGATGTTTGCTGGTCTGTAGCCCCGTGCCAAAGGCAGATCGCTCCTACAGAGTCGGTGAGACTTTCAGACGAGCTCTTGTGAGAGCAGAAGCGCACAGCTCCTGCTTCAGGTCGGTGTTAGGGGCTGAGAGGTCTTGCTGCAAAGGCGTTGTCCATAGACCACGAGAAATATTTGGTATAAAATGCCATAGCTGATAAAATATTGGTAACTTAAATGCATAATGATAGAATTTTTCAGGAGCAGCTCCAATTTAATGCCTGATGGAGCAGAGTCGTTCGCACCTGTTTACAAAATGTCTCTCTGGCTAGAATTGTACATCTAAAAACTCGTGCTGAGGTAGCAAATCACTCTTTGAATTTAATTAGCTAAGTCATCTCTATAAACTTTGCTTGCTTGAATGTGGCCTTGTAAAAGAGATCAGAGGGTAGGCATTTTTCCAGGCAGTGGAATAGAGCTAGAATTTGATGGCTAGCATGCACTGCCTCACTGCTACATGACATTCAGAATTGCAGGCAGTCTTTCTCTGGGAGCAAAGCAGTGCTAAATAAACCTGTGTGATCTCAAAGGCCAGGACTGTTTTAGCCAAACATGGACTAGAAACCAAATTAGCCTCCTGGGAGATGTGGAAGCTTTCTGTTTCCTTCATGTAACACTGTTGGGTTGTTTTTTTTTGTTTTGTTTTGTTTTTTTTTGTTTTTTTTGTTTGTTTGTTTGTTTGTTTTGTTTTTGTTGCTGTTGTTGTTTTTGCTGGTGGCATTGATTGATTGATTTGTTCTATTGGCTTTCTGCTGTACCAGACAGGGAGAAATCTCCAAGCTCCTGTTGGTGCTGTGATGAGGTTGCAGGCTTGCTAGTGTGCAAAGCGGTTGAGTGCCCTAAGCTTCTTTGGTCAGGAATACCTTGAAGAATGGTGTTCGGCAGTGCTATAGCATTTCACTAGTAATTGCCTGCCTGGCAAGTGAAATGCTTGATTTAAAAAAGAAAAAAAAAAAAAAAAAAAAAAAGGCAAAAAACATATTTTCATTTGCTAATTGTGTAATTTAGGCTGTTACCTTATTTAAGGTATTATTTACCTTCGGATGACAAATATTAGATATTTAAATTTTGCCTCTCCAGCTCATTGCTTTCCCAAAACTGTGAGAAGAAAGAGTCTGAACTCATTTTCGTGGGATCAGGCGTTGATACAGCTCGTTGTGTTTGCTCACTGGTGTCCCATTCCAATAATGCATAACAACCAAAATTTTCCAGGGATACTTGACATTTCTTTGGCACAATTTCTTGGAGTATCTCGAATTGTACAACAAATAACGACAGTAGAATTTGCTTGGATGTAATAATGGTTTCTTACCAGACCTCCTTTGCAATGCAGGCATTGTACCAGGACTGAAGAAGCACAGCTGTGCACAAGTGTGGGCTTAAACACCTATGAAGACTGTAGTGTTGCTTCTAAGATGGCTGCAGGTGGTTTCCTTGATGTAGTTTTCAGTCACACAGATAAGGGTGACTTTACTGTTTTCTGTACACCATTTCCTTCCTCACCTTTTGGATGACTTAGGTTAAGATGGTCCAATGGTCCAATTCAGGATGAGATCAAGTTAATTACTAATTCTGGAATAGCTGTCAGGCCTGTGCCAGGCTGAACTACATCCTTGATGCAGAAATTGCTGCAGTACCACTCCGTTTGCACAGCAGTGCATCGAGTAATGCAGGCTGTTGTACAAGTGAGAAAGTGAGATCAATTAATTGTAGTTCAGTCAACAGTGAAGCCAGTATTTACATCCTATGCAATGAAAAAGTTTCTTCCAGGATAGAAACTTTAAGTGGTTGCTTTTAAGATACCTTTTTTTTTTCTTCAATGTTTTAAAACTGTGTAGTGTTTTTACTTCAGAAGTGGTAGCGCTTGTTCTCTGCACTCTATGAGTGTCTCCAAGCTTGTCCCTCGCTTGTAATTTTTTCTTGCTGCAGTGAGAGATGAGGAAAATAAACACCAGATAGATAAACCTTATTACTATCTATACCCTGCTTGTTTTTCGGAAAGATAATTGTATGAAAAATATCTTTGGACCCAAACCTTGCTATTTGCAAGGCCCTTTGGGGCATGGCACATCAAGAAACAAGTCGTATGAAATAGCAGCTCGTAGGTTATTCAGGTCCCGCTCTTGGTGGTGCTTTGCTGCACTTTCAGCAGCTGCTCACGAGAGGGAGCTCACAGAAAGCTTCAAGCGTTCCTGCGGTTAAAAGAATATTAAGAACCAGAAATATCTCTGTATGTTGTGAACTCTGCTCTCTCCAAACATTTACATTCCGTGACTATAAACCTTCTTGTCAAAAATTCAGTTTCATCTTCCGGTGTTTTTTCTATATCTCGAAATTGACTGTGTTCTTTGGAATAATTACCCCAGTTTTATAATTGCTCTCTTTTGGGCAGAGGGAGCCAAAATATTTTCTTACATTCTAATCTTACTATGAATTTTCAAACCCAAAAGGTCTCCTATAAATAACCCTCAAAAGAGTAGATTAATAATGACAATATCCATAAAGGAATTTTCTTCCTTCTTTAACAGGAAGATCTTGAAAGATCGAGGTGCTGCCTCCTGATTTAAAACAGGTGCCCAGTCTCGTGTTCTCTGCATGGAATTAAATACAGAGTTCTTCATGTTAGCACTTCAGAATTTAGCTGCGCAGTCTTTGCATTTTCACTCTCTTTTCTGATGATAAAACAGATGTGCCACGAATGTCGCTTTCCGAAAGGAGCTGTTTCCAGTTGTGCACTGCTGCTCCTGTTCCTCTCACACAGACTCTGTTTGCGCTCCGGAATGTTTTTATATTTCTCATACAGCAAGAATTATTTCAGTGATGTGAAAGGGCTTTGTTTATGTCCAGCTTAAGCATTTTCAGTGTCTTAATGAAGAAGACACTGGCTTATTTAAGGTACTATTTGATGATTAATAGACAAAATCACGCTTTGCTCTTTCAGAGGGCTGACTGGAGGGAGTACATACAGGTGTCTTCACAGTCAGAGCATGTGAGTTCCATGCAATAGCTAGTAAAGGATTTGTCTCCTGCTCCTCTGTGCCAGGTGTCCTCAGCAGGCTTGTTTAGACCTCCTGCTCAGGCCTTGGTGTTCTTGTGAGAGGAAAACAAGCTCTAAGATTTGTGGGGAATATTTCTGAACTTACACAGAATGTAGTTGTTGGATGAAAATCTGCTTTTATTATTGAAAGAATGTTTGTAAAATACATTTTTATCACTGTAGTGCTTAAATCAGGATGATCTATCTGATCCGAAATGATCATTTTTCTTACAAGAGGTTTGTTTCATGAAATGTTTTTGAAATTATGTTCCCCACCAAAAAAAAGGGTTATTTAAATTAGCAGTACTGCTGATTGATTTTAAAATAAATGCAACAATGAAAAGAGTTGAGATCTTCTGCATTTATGTAGCAGTAAAGAAGAAGAAATACTTTGGAAACATAATTTTTAAAAGATTTGCTCAGAAAAATATTAAACGGGATGCTTTGTGCACTTGTAGGCTGTGTTCATGTAGTTAATTAAGTTTTGTTTCTGAGGCAGTATTGCAATGAACTTATGCAAATAGAGTTAATAATGACATACTCAGGTGAATAAAGCAACAGTTGGCATTTAGGAATCAATGCACTAATAACAGGGGATCTGCATCCTTTCCAAGTGGTGATTTTCCTCCTCATTTCCAAATGGTGCCAGGAGATTTTAGGGTGTGTTTCAGGTTTTACTGTGAACTGTTTGGAATTTCCATTATCATTGCAGCAAGTTTTCTTCTTGCAAGCAGGCAAGCATAAAAGTTTATACTATATAGTGGTTCTGAAGCGTGACTAAATCTTAATATTATTGCAAATGATGGATTACAGGAGGATTGTTTTTTTTCTGGACTTGTAAAAAAATTTCATATTGCAAGTGCACTCAGAATTACAGGGCTTTCTTAAGTTAATTTTATATCCCTTATATTATGGGGTTTGATTTAGTAAAAGCTCTGGATTAATCAGAAGAGGCTGAGATGTGCAGTAACTGCAGCTGGGACGGAGGAAGGCTTTCCTTTGTCTATGAAAAAAAAACCAAACAAACCCAAACAACTTTTTATTTTCCAGTGACTTTGGATTGTAGAAAATGCAGATGTTGAGGTACTTCAGAATTAGGCTGCTACATCTGTAATCAGAATAGGATGTTTTAACTGGGCAGGAGCCAAAGGCTCAAAATAATGAATGTCAGTGCACTAAGTGATGAACTGATGTAACATTCAGTGGCAATCCATGTGTAGAGGGTTTGAAAGCTCACAGCAATACAGAACATAGGAAGGGAAGATGTAATCCAGTTCCTTCTCTTTCTGCCTCTCATTATATGTGTTACATGTATTTTAGATTAGCGTAGGTCATAGCTTGGGAAACACCTTGTTGCTAAATGAATAAGCTGCAGAGATGCCTCTAGATTCTGTCTGTAAGAAAGTCATTTTAAAGGATACAAATGTGGGTAAGTAACAGATAATTCACACGGAGTGATTTGCTGTGATGAAATATTAGGAAAAAAAGGGAACATTGTGTGTAATTTATCAAAGAAATAAAGCCCATGAGTGGGGAGAGTCATACTGTAATTCCTGGTCTGATGCATTTGCTACGCTGTAAGAGCCCATCTGAGCTGTGCCAGTGAGTGAAACGCTTGGCTTGAGTCAGCTGTCAGCTCAGGGCTGCCTCTTTGGTCAGGACTGCAGAGCATTTGGTACTCCAGAGCCTCTGAAAACCTAGGCCTGTCACTTTTAGCAGTGGGAACACAGTGTACACGTTCCTTTGGATCCCTGCATCTGGTGCCATACAAGTGCTGCTTGCTCAGGTATTTCCCAGGTTTTGAAGTTCTGGGAAG